TTGAGCTAGATTTACATTTAAGATGGTTGAAACAGAGTCATGAAAACTCATTGCCTCTATTTTTTCTTTCTTTTATTGTGATTTAACTCACTTCCAAATCGCATGTCCGCTTTGCTAAATTTAGGTTCAACCAAGACTCGCGCTAATAAAATATAATATCGACTGACCAGGAAGGAAAATAAATCCGAAATTAAGGTGCTATTATTCGCATTCTTCGCGGCATATGCAGATTAACATAAGTGCATATTGTGAACAAAGGCAATAAAATATTTTCGCAGGCCATTGTGATACGGAGATTTAGTAAATATGAAAGAAGCAACTCGTTAAATAGGAATAATAATGGCGGATAACGGGACAGCATCTTACGTGAAATCAATTACGTTTTTACTGTTACGGTTTTCCTTTTTGATAATGACTCATACATTTTTGACAATTAATACGGAAAAATAAACTGATTTATAACAATGCCAGATATGGACAGGATAATAATATACTCTTTATTGCTACCTTAGGGCCCACTATCTGTGCGATGTCCAACGGCAATCTTGTGTTATTTGCATGGTAAAACCGCGTAAAGAAAATAATTTTTCAGGCTTACATACGTTTATGTTTATTACAGATAAGCAGTTTTCATAGAATGGGATTTATAGATAGAATTAATTGTGGCCTTTCAAGTTCATTTTTAAATAATGTCACTGAAATAATCTAGTGATATTGAACATTACTATGCTTATATGTCTTTTTTATAACCCGTTCCAGAAGGAAAATGCTAGATATCTATTAGGTTCGTGTTGTCAACTGTAATACAAACAAAATTTGAGTGTATGTATAGTTTTATATGTATTCAATGTATACAGGAATGTATGAAGAATGTTACAAATATTTGTAGAAAAATTCGGATTTAACATAGCGTTTCATTTCTTGAACGGAATTAGGCGAAGAATAAAATTAAATTTCTCCTGCTTTTAGAAAGGACAGTAAAAATATAAATATTTCACGTAACATGTGATAGACCATCGGCGCTTTATTACACTGTATACATATATTTTTTAAGGAACTGGTAGTTTTGAAACAAATATGTTTGTAGTTTATAATGAACTGTAAGAGACATTGTAGCTAAAGTCCGAGATAATAAATATCAAAACTATAAAAGATTTGAATTAAATTATATATAGTATTTACAAATAATATAAATTCTAAGAAAAATTATAGATAACAGCAAATATTTTACATAATTTGACGAAAGTATATGCATTTGAATAGAATAAAATAACATTTACAGCATATAACTCCATTTAAAACTGCTCATTTGATCCAAATACTTGTTTTTCAGTGTATTTCAGTGTTTATTTATTAGTTTTTTTATTTATTTAGTTTTCTGTTAATCTCAAAACGATAATTTAATAAAATTTAAGAAAGTGAAATGGGTAATGAATGAGATGACGTATATGAAAACAGATTTATTAAAAAAATATTGCACAAAGTCAGATACATTTGGTAAATAATTATAGTACAAAAAAAAACAAGAATATTATTCGTATTAAAAGTACGTTGAGACGAAAATAGGACGAAATTCCCTAACACAATTAGCAAATATTTGACATCTTAAGGTAACAGGGCAACAGGTTACTAATAAATCGACTCAATTTTTAATATATGCTATGGTAGGTATATACAAGTAGACGATATTTAAGAATATTTTCAATTCAAATATATTACCTGTCCATATTACCAAGGATGTCAAACTTGAAGATTTGCCATTTATAATAAATATATATAAAATTACAAAAAAAAACAAACTTATAATAGAACTAAGGAACGATATATTTTATTAATAAATAAAACAAACCAAAAATAAATAACAGCCTTAAATAACTATAAAATTCATAAAAAATATTGCACATTAAAATTATATATCTTTATACGCTATTTACTGTGAAAATAAAATGACGTCATTAATTGACAATTAAATATTAATTATTTACGTTGATGTAAAGCGTAAAAATGTGTTTATCTTTTTTAAATTTTACGAAATAGGTCCATACACCGTAAAATCTTCTAATTAGTAATTGGCATTATGTCGTCACTCTATTTCCTGGGAAAATAGACTACTCACAATTTAATACTGTTCAAAAGCTATAAACAGAATAAATTGCACATTCCCATTCCACCATATCTCTCTGATATATTACCTGTACAAACTTATAAGTAATATTGCACATACGAAACATTTTTAAAGTCTACTAAATACAAACAAAATAATTCCAATCCAATCCAATTGGAAAAATTTCAGTAGTCTTTTACAAGTTGCTGCTTCTGAAATAATGTGTTCTACAAAACAGTACAGTGTCTTAGAAAACAAAACATTTTGAAGTAGAGCTAAAAAATTTGTTATTAAAATAGATTTTAATTTGTCATCACAATTTTTCCTCCGACTATTTGTAAAATCAATGAATAAGTATAGAAACAAAACTAGCAGCTTATAACTGTTACAATATGTTAAAAAAAACGTTATTGCATTGAATTTTGTGAACAGAAAACATTAGATTCTAATAAAATGGAAAGCTCGTACTGTATCTGAGTATAGAAGATGCGAGTAACTATTCTTTATAAATAATATCTATCACAAACTAACATAAACATCTGTATAAAAATTATATCACAATGAATTTCTCTACCTAAGTATGCTAAACCTAGTAGTTACCCCTTATACCTAAAGGGTGGATATGCAAAATTGCACCATACGATTTTCAGGTATGTTTTCCATTTAATATACACGTCTCGGTAGATCCACCCTTCAAAACAGGATTTTTGAAGCGCACTGAAGAAATAACATTAAAATGCGAACTAGGCAAAATGATTAAAAAACTTCAAGTTCCAGATACAGCCACACTAAAATTGAAACAATCTCATCTTGGTACCACTGAAACTTAAAATTTTTCAATTACCTTAAGCTCACTTCTACAAAAACACTACTATTAAAAATATCAACATAAAATATTGCACATGATATTCTTAACTACTAATATTGCACAAATAAGTGTTTCCCGACCTGATGGAAATAACACGAACTGTTATTTTCGAATAAATAAAATAAATTAAATAAATAAAAGCAAGTACTTTGATAAATTATTTATAGGTTGGCACGTTTTAGGAATACTTGCGATAAAATGGGCATGCCAGCTTCTGCTTCTAAGCGCCTTATAGCGATATTTTTTGTAATATAAAGGTATCTATTTTACTACTGTTTTATTGCTAGATCCACTCTCTGCATTTTTATTAAACGATGATCTGCATAACTTCGATGTATTCTCAACTGCATAACGTAAAAAAAGATACTTGTAAAGGTTGTAAATTCACGTTTGTGAAATATTTAATATATTTAAGCAATAAATATCAATATTAATTAATGTGTGGATTTTTTAAGTACACTATAACGGCATATGATGTTTATGTAAACGAAAAACTGAAATTTGTATGCAGTTTAATTAGTATTAGTTATTCAAATTGTTAATCTCAAAGACCAAAATATACTATATGGGATTTAAATATATTTTAATTGGTGAATAATTTACGAAAACTGTGTTTACGATCGCTTTAAACCAAGTAGGTAAACAGTAAAGAATTTAGATTTCGTAACAAACCGAATATATTGTACGGATTATGAAAAATAGATAACGTAGGCATCCAAAATTTTCAGAAATGAACTTATGTTTTAAATATTCCATAATTATTTGAATCTTTTAGATTGTTTTAGAATGAATAAACATGGTTTCAGCAAACGACAAATCTAATCAGTTTTAATATTTTTAGGAGTTTATTTTTTTGCAAGTTAAGACTAAGCAAGTTATTTTTATACAGTCACTAATAAAGCATGTCAAATTTAATAATTTCTAGAGAAAAATGCCGAATGGCATAATTCCTCGAAATTTCGAAAAAAGAAATAAATTGTTTATTATTTACTTTCTCACATACCAATTCGTTAAATCTTTAATATAACAGATTATGAATAAACCTGTATATTATTATTTATTTTTACTATTTTCATTGCCTACTGACGATTTTTTTATAATTTAGCTCATGAACTTCATAAAAAATCAAAATAAAGCATCTGATGAAGTCATATAAGTATGCTCTTTAACACCACCAACTAGATATGCTGAAAAGTAACTTAAAAGACAAACTATTAACTAAAAACTAATAACATTGTAGAAGACAACTACTCTGCTGATTAAAGCCACTGTATCTAGTAATAAGCATTTATAAAAAATAATAAAACTAATCTATCCATTTCTATTAACATGAATGAGCTATGTTTACTTGATATTACGGCCGATATTATGAGAGTCGTCTTTGGAGTTGCTTGTCAGCATACTTGGATGTCGATGTCAAAGACCATGGGTATATAACTTCATCATATTAAAAAAATAACATTAAATAGAATAGAGACAATATTTGAAATTAGTTAAACTTTCTATAAAAGTTTTTAGTGTGAAATACATGTTTAAATAAATATTTGTTCATAAAAATTCCTTTGGCAATAATAAAAATAAATAATTCTTTAGAGATTTAGTTACACAAAAACTCCTTTGGTAATAATATCAACAAATAACTTTTTATAGGTTTACAAATAGTTCGGTAAGTAAAAAACGTCAGTGATAAAAACTTTGTTAGACTGTTGCTACTATTTCGTATTACTTTTTAAACAAAAACATTTTTTTTTAAGTAATTAATTGTAATTATGTATGTATTAATTATAATGATTGTCAAACTAATATAATTATACCTTACTGTTGACATTATACAACAATTAATCAAATTTGAAATTATTTTTCTTTAAATTTATTGCTCTATATTATTTTAACTGATGCAAGTATTTCAGAAGCTGCTGATTCCGTCGTTAACGGTATAATTTGGAAAATTAATGACAGTGTTGATAATTTTTTCTACACTGGGGAAAACTTACTACAAACATACCCAAAACGTGCGCCCACACCAAACTAATCCCTCTGCAACAACTCATGTAAAGCAGCGATGTACGTCTGGGCCATCTGCAGCGTCTCAAACTTGGACAACTTCCTGTCGTTCCCCAAACTCGGCACCACGTCCCTAAGCCTATCGAAGGCGTCGTTCAAACTGTTCATCCTCCTCCTCTCGCGCGCGTTAGCCGCCAACCTCCTCTTCCTCATGACCTCCAGCCCCGCCTGGGGCTGCGCACTCTTCCTACCACCCTCCTTCTTGTACTTACTCTCGCTGTAGTACCCCTGCCTGCCATAGGCGGACATGGAGCTGGAAGAATCCAGCCTCTGGGACTTGTACTTACAGTCGTACTTGTTGTAGATGTTGTTGTTCTCTCCATAGTAGTCCTGGCTGGATCCCCAACTGTCCTGCCTGTTGTAGTAGTTGGGGGTGTACGGCTGAGACGACATTCCCGGATCCGAAGATGTGGACAAGGGACTGGAAACTGTTAAGCCGTAGTGGCTGTCAGGGGTGGATACCCTGGGCGACAAGCACCCGTCTGATGCAGTTTCAGTTGTGTGATGCTGCAGGAACATATTTCCCTGATCAGGCAATGAACCATAGCTTTGACTTCGGTCACATGAGCGGCTTCTTTTGTACCAACGAACAATTAATTCTACCTGTAACGATCTAATCGCGTAAGTGATGGCATCGATGCTTATAATTCGCCTGAAAAACTAGCTCTATAATTCACAGCGACTATTCCTTCAGCGGCAGCACTAGTCGCCATGATTTGCGACGCTACTTGATGAATTTTTCATGAAGCAGCATCTTTTGGTACACCTCATAAACCGGCCCCTTTCCGAATCGGCGCTTCCGGTAGCGACACTAGATGCCGGAAGAGAAAGTCTGGAACCGTCCACTGCGCACTGTTTGTAGAACGTGTCCTATTAAGCGAAGAAGTCGTGTGTCTTCTGCGTCTATGTCGACGACGCGTGTTGGACACCCGCGCGTGAGGGAACTTTCTCGAGGAGTCAGGATGTACCTGTGTCTTGATGTTAACTGAAGATGACTGGAGCGTGCTTGCTGTTAAATCAAAGAAGTGGTAGCCGTGTAACGGCCCAGGTCTCTTCAGTGCTCCACGGCCAGTGTCGAGGTGATGACGGCCGATCATTTGTCGATGGTCAATGGTAGGAGCCCGTCGCCTCGGTAGCAGCACAGGGGCGACTGATGAAAATCGTTTTTTAAAGACTTAAAAATTTTAAAAAACGCTAACAAAGAGATGACTTTTAATAAAGCCTGGTTAGACAGAACTAGTATATAATTAAATTGGAAATAAGGGTGGAATCCTGTTGATTGTCCATAGTTGTCCTCGTTGGCCACTGGGTGGGGTTGGTCTCCAGCTCCGACAATTAAATTTTTGCCTTCCTATACAGGGAGATTTACGAATGGCGACCAAAAATGGAACCTTGTATTCATCGATGAATTTTTAGGGGAATATTTCCTATAAACTTTTTATCTAGGACGCTTCGTTAAAAAGATACAGGGTGTTGAACTTCAAAAAACATTTTCAATTTTTTGAAATAATTTAAAAACTAGTAAGTAAAATAATTTAAAATTGGGCACATGTATTTATATAAACATTGTCCAAAATCTGAGGACTTTTCCTAAAATTTACATGCTCCAGTGGCGGAGATACAGGGTATCGGTGGCGTATATTTCTAAATAAAATAGTACGCCAATGCTTTACGGTAACAACCATGATATTTTCGGATTCGTCTTTCAATGTTCTAGAAATTAATACTCTCTTATGTTTTTCGGAAAAAGTCTGATTTTCGACTAAATTTTAAAAAATCAACTGAACTTCTACTTAAATGATATGACAGGCACTAATCATTCGTTTATTTGTTCGAATAAAGAAATTAATAACATTAGTCATCATTTTAATGATTTTATTTGATTATATACTCAAAAATACTTCCATTTCCACGAACACAGGCGTGACATCTTTTTGGTAACGAAAATGTAATTTGTTCGAAATTTATTGTTGCTTGAATCTGATGAAAAACATTCTTTCTTCTAACTCCTGAGAATATCAAAGTTATTATCGCAGCCTACTATGTAATTTTAAATCGCATTTTATTCGAATGTCGAAGTTCGTTTTTTAAGTTTTACTCCACAATCAGACTTTTTTTCGAAATACGTAATGTGTATAAAATTGAAAGACGAATCCGAAAATATCACGGTTGCTACCGAAAAATATGCCACCGATACCCTGTATCTCCGCCACTGGAGCATGTAAATTTTAGGAAAAGCCCTCAGATTTTGGACAATGTTTATATAAATACGTGTGCCCAATTTCAAATTATTTCACTAACTAGTTTTTAAATTATCTAGAAAAATCAAAAATATTTTTTGAAGTTTAACATCCTGTATTTTTTTTAACGAAGCGCCCTAGATAAAAACTTAGCAAAGACTCCCCTTAAAATTCACCAAAGAATAAGGTTTCATTTTTGGTCACCATTTGTGAATCACCCTGTATATGAAAAAATTGGAAAGATACAATTTTACGAAATTTTTGTGCTTTATTTCGGTAATTAAATTATTTCATAAATTTCTGAGAATATTTTTTTCTACTTGATATCCGAGAGAAATGTAAAAAAAAATCTCAATTTTTGATTTAATGGTCGTCAAAGGGTTTCAGGTCAATAAGTTGTGTTTCATTAAGGTTACCCGTGCTTCACCATACGAATATGGCAATATTTGCTTGTCAGTCGCCTGTATTTGCTTGTCCCGAGTCAACATGAATTTACTTAGTAACATGATAAGAGCCAGAAGATGAATAACTTACATTCACTGTAAAATAATTTTTTTCTTTAGTTTTCGTTTTATTTTTGATTTGTAATAAGTTTTTCTGTTTTACTTTTGTTCCCTATATCTTGAATATTCAGGGTGAATTTTATTCGTTTTCTTCTACATTGTTTGCGTCTACAGCTGGTGAACTTTTAAAAGGGCTTTGTGCCAGAAGTAGACTCAGGATAGGTGACGATACGGATTACAAAATATAATACGTGCTAATTAATAAGGAAATAGTTAGTTTTTAGTCACCTCGAATATCTCAGTCTTATATCCTCTGAGATTCTTCTAGAATTATGCAGGAAATTGTCGTCACCAGGGCCAGTTAGTGTAAAATAATAACTTCTTAATAAAAAAAATGTCACGTAGATAAAATCTTTTATCGCGGTTAAAAAAGTAAAATATTTATCTCGGTATTCAAACAGTTTACTGTTAAATTATAATTAAATAACTTCTTAGCACTATTAATTCATAACGGTGTTTTAAAATTCTTCAATTCTGAAAATGATAGAAATAAAGTGTTTGACGAATACAGGGTGCAACAGTGATATCACAATAAAGGTCCAGGACTCCTTTGCTAAATTTTTATTCAAACTATGTATTTAGGCAGCTACTGTGAGGTAGTAGGGTAGTGCACTGCACTAAAATTAATTCTACATATTCAATGGTTCTCGAATTTATCAGAAACTGTGTTTCTCTTCCAGCGTTTTAAAGATCTTCGATAAAATTATTCCTAAATTTTATAAGAAAAAGTCTTCGTGATTTTTCGGGGACATGATTCACTTCTGACAGTTTGTCGCGATGTCACTGTTACACCCTGTATAAATAAATTTCTACAAAAAATGAATGAAAAACGTAAAATATTATACATTTCGTCATAATGTACAAAAACTTTTAATTAAAAGTGACGTGACTTATTTACTAGACCTGAAACAAGATAAAATCTAGAGCTCTAAATAGGAACTCTTGATGTTGTTGCGTGACCTGTAATATTTGTTCAAGAGTAAATTATTGTGATCAGCTCTAAACCCCTTGGCTCCCGCTGATCTAGAATTCTATATTACGAAAATTATGAAAATTATACGATGTGTTATAAATAATTGTAGGTATGCAGTTGAATATAGTCGACTGGATGTTATTGTAAATTTGCAGCAGAATTTATCATAAGTATATAGCATAATTAGTTGTTTTTCTTTCCTAGGAAATTTGAATTTTGAAAAAGTATAGTCATAATTAGAATCCAACTAACAAAACTCTGAAAAGTCAGGCTAGAATGACGAAATTTAAGAAGTTTTTTAATCTTGTTTATATATCATCTATACGTTACCATCGATCAAGAACAACTAGTTGTATTAACAACCAAAGACGTAAAATTAACGAATATGAAATAAGAATTATTGCAAATAAAGTATCTCAATACGTTGCAACTGATTTTTGCTGCCATATGCGTTATGCCAAAGGAAAATCATAATAATTAAAGCAAAGCTATTTAATTTAATTTAATTGGATACTCGTGCCACTTTAATTTCTTCCTTCATTAGTCTGGACGGGAAATATATTTATAATAAAACCAAGGAAGATGGAATTTTATCATCCGCTAAGTTAATTCAGACGGACAGATGTTATTAAAGAGAGAAAGTTGGATGTAGTTGATCTTAAGCAATGTTTTTTGATCAATTTTAGAAAACTTTGTGTATAAACTTGTCTGCAAAAATTGATACATTTTTCCTCAGATAGATAAAATTTGTGTTGAAATAATATTTCAAATCCATATTAGTTCTACCAGGCAGCAAAAGTTATCGATGATTTTGCAACGGCATTTAATAAATCACTGTCAACAATTAGTATAATTTTGAATAATTCCAAATATTTCGAATTTTCACCCCCAAGAACGGCGGTGACAACATTTTTAACATTAAGGCGATGTTTCGCATTGTAATAGCTATGTCCTCTCCAAATTTGGATTAGTGCAACTCTCTCGGTTTCTATGTATGTTTTCAGCCACGAAAATTGAATAACTTCAAATATCTATTTCGAATTTTCACCACCAAGAACGGCGGTGACAACATTTTTAACATTATGGCGATATTTCGCATTGTATTAGCTAAATCAATAAAAAGCGGTATATCACAAGGTAGCATCTTGGGACCAATTTTGTTTTCTAATTTTATATTTATTACCTAATGTAGTGAAATATGGTAGATTGCACATGTACGCAGATGATATACCTACAATTGCACAAATCTTGTTCAGCATGTACCGCTACTGAATCAATTGAATCAATAAATTGTGATTTGAATAATATTTATAATTGTGGCAAGAATAAATCCAAATAAATCGGGTCCTAATAAGAGAAATTTAATATGTACTAATAATATTTCAGTTAATGTATCAATAATTAGGGTTGATCGAGGTAAGTTTCTCTGGGGCCAAATGCGATCTACTGAATAATAATATGCCACCGATTCTCTCGCACAACTTCGTACTTCTAGAGACAAATGGAGGCAAATATTATTGTAATTTGTAAAAGAGTTTTAACTATTACGACAATACCAAAAAATATTAAGTTATTTCGATAATCAGAAAATAAATGTAGATTTGTATAAAATATGTTTGTTAATTTAACCGTTATTCTTTTGAAATTAATGAAGATATGAATACACAACAAGAGTCACCAATAGATATTATTTATGTAAATCGCAAAAATTTACATTTCATTTCTTAAAACAAATCTGTAAAT